ACGGAAACCGTGCTGGTATGGGTAGAAAAAATTAATCGAGTTAAGGTGACTTATTATGTTCGGGCTGACTAATAGTTTAGAAGGAACGCTTGTTAAAGAAATGGGGCGATAATTAGATACAAGTGATCGATCACCACTTTTATGGACGGGGATGATTTTTCCAATTTTCCAGTCTTTTGGGCTTTGGCGATCTGAGAGTGATTGGGAGAAAATTAGTGATAGATACTCACTTCAAACTATATTGGTGCTTTTAAGGATTTTGGTGCTGATGTTATCCATGCCAGCAGATGATGATAGTTTTAGTTTGTCAATTAAGGCACTTATTCCAGCAGATGAAATGACAATAGGTAGCATGATGGCACTAGACAATGAGCGGGGAGATGCTACTTCACCAAGGCCTCCGTCCGTGAAGACAGAAATAAAAAAGTCGTTTAAGGCTGTCGCGCTTTCGTTCTCAACGATGGGATCTTTATTGCTGTCTGTCAGCGACAGAGATTGGGAGTGATATTTGGGTGACAGGAGTTGCCAGAATCGGGTTGGGTTAGAACGAAGAATGCAAGGCATGTCGGAAGATAAAAACTTTTTCTTAGCCCATTTAATTTTTTTTGCATATTCCTTTGAAAGTTGACTGTGTATGTTCCAGTTTTCAACGTGACCAGTGCGCTTAGCTTTGCGATACATACGTTTATTTTTGTTTCGTAGTATTTTTAGTGTCTTATCAAACCAGGGGTGGTTCCCGTCGGATTTAATAAGGACTGTTGGTATAAAAATATTGATGAGACTGTTTATTTTATTTTGAAAAAGATTCCAGTTTTCTTCAACAGATCTCGAATAAAAGTTCCTGCTGAAGTTTGTGTAAAAAGTTTGTAGTTTGATTAGGTAGCTGGGCGGTTTAACGTCCTCGTTGTTTTTTCGGCACATCGAAAGTTGGTGCTGCTCTCCCCCAGAATTGCGTAAAAGGCTGGGGGCAAGAGGAAATGTGCCGTAAAGCACAGGCACAAGTTTGTTTATTGTGTGGTAGGTGTTGTATACAAGATACCACTAAGCTGCGGGAGAGTGTACGTCGGCCGAGCTGGCCGATGTATTAATCAGTGTTGCCGAATGGGCACCCCCATTCCATTCCAATTACATTCTGAGGAATAAGAGTTTTCGATAATTCAATTCCTTTCAACTCCTAGGAATGGGGACACTGGGCCCATTCCCACTAATGGAATGGCTGAATCGTTCCATTCCATTCCTTGAATTCCTAAACGTAAAAATTGGCACTTGGCAGCTACATTTTGTTGCCGGCATAAGCAGCATAAAGCTGACATTATCAAATGCAGAGACAATTGCAAAAAGAAAAAGAAAAGCTAAATTCCTCAAAAAAGCACTGATTTTTACTAAGCGGACCGCTGGTTGCAGAAAGTGTTTATTTACAATGTACTGCAAACATCGAGAAAGCCCCTTGATATGTCAATGCTTGTTTCAGACATCGGTCTCGCGACCACGTCGCTCGCGACAAACAGCAAAACTTAAATCCACTCATTTTCTTTTCTTTTTCTAACTTTTTTTGCATTTGACTTTTAAGACATACGCGGCCAGCGTGTTTGTTTGATAAGAACATAAAAAATATCCAGTTCGTGCGTGGCGCAGGAATAAGCTATATTACTGTATTATTCAAATACAGCAACACGGCTAGTACACTGCTGGAAGCGACTCCATGCACAGCGGCAGAACACATCCTCTGACAAAATGCAACCACTGCGGCGCAGCACGAGGGACCGTATAGACCATGTCACGAAACGTGTTTTAAAACGCATAAGTTCACACTTGCTTTACGAATCTCGATAATTCTTATCATATTCAGTTCAATTTTTGGCTGGTTCGCCTGCCCTTTTCCACCCTTCGCATACTCATTCTCGTGTTTCCTCTTCAGACGGCAAATAAAGTTCGATAATATACGCCGACTGCACCGTGTGTAGTTTCGTTGCACAACTTTCAGCGTGCAGCTTGTTTATTTTCTTCGCGACTAATATAGAAAAATGTATTCTAAGATGCCATGACTCGATCTGTTTTTGTCTTGTCTTCTCGTCCGAATTGTGATGTTCCTCTTCGCGCTGATCGAGTGGCGGGTTCAGGCAGCAGACGGTACCAACCGGTTCATTCTTCTACCTAGGTGTCGGTTGTTCGCGTAGTGGCGACGGGTAGGGAAGTCAGCGTTGACAAAGCTCTTCACATCAAGATACAATTAACAGGGTAACACCGCACCGTTCGAATTGACATTCCCCGTGTTCCCTCATTTACACTGTCCAACTAACTTCTCACCGCCTCAAATAGGGTCCAGGACAAGGAACGCAAATGCAGACCGGACAGCCGAGACGCGCGGAAGCCAAAACGTCAGTGGCAGCTAGCACCCGGCTCTCCTTCTCAGTTGCCCTCACAGCAACGGTCGCACCTCGTCTGGCGCGGGACGGTCTTTCTGCAGGTCTAGTCAGTTCGGTCACACCAAGAGCGGTGACGATAGTCTACTTCACCTTACGATGGACCTCAACAGACAGCACGAGAGCCATTGAAACCAATCCAGTGCTTTCTGACTGCTGCGTCACCCTGCAGTCCCGCTCACGGTGCTGCATTGCCTAGGCCCAAGGTTAACTCGTAGCGTCCGCAGCGGTCCATCCCAAGGTGAAACAAAGTATGCAGAGACTAAAGTCAAGGGAAATGAGCGGGAATCCGCTAGCTTGCTTGTAACCCCAACCCACTAAATCATAAGACACAGAAAACAAGCATCGGAACAAAGACCAAGTAATAGGCGGACATACAATACAAATGCAGCACAAAAAAAAAAAACAAGCCTCGGAGCAAAACGCAAGAGGAGAAGAGGGAAGTGAATCTCGCTTTGGTTTTAATGCCGAGGCAAACCCTCATTTCGCACTTCAAAGGAGTGCGCACGAATGAACATGGAAGGCAGCAGGGTTGGCTGCCTGTTAAACAACGCGCCTCGAACTATAAGAAAACAATACCTGATCATCTTTCGACGGCGCCCAAGTCAACGAGTTATCAGAGTTCTGCGAGTTATGAGTCGCTTCCGCTCCCAGATCCCAGTCTGTTCGCGCGCGTGCATTCTACAAATCGTCACAACAACAATAAAAAAAGCATGACAAGATGTACGATGAGGAGTTGTGCACGGCGGTTTCTTTCTTTGCCGCTTCCTTTTCTTTTGCTTGGTGCTCGGTTTCTTGTTCCCCTCTCGTGTAACGCCATCGAAGCCCGACGCCTGCGCGTCCGTGAAAGGCGCCACGTTACCCCCCTTTCTCCCTTTGCTCTTTGCTTTGACGCTTGTTGTTTTGTATTGCATTTTGTTGGCGTATAAGTCTGTGAGGGCTATTCGCGGGCTAGCAGTTTCCCGCTCATTTTATTTCTGAGAAACTGACTCACTGACTGGCTCGGTTTAACTGACCGTAAACACTAAAAAAAAAAAAAAGAAGAACAGTGCCACCATTCTTTTCCCATTCCATTCCGGGCAAAAGGCACCTAATTCCATTCCCATTCCATTCCCTTCAACGTTGCCGCCATTCCATTCCCATTCCATTCCGGGGTCGTGAAAATGCGGAATGATTCCGGGAATCATTCCAACTCCGGAGTGGCAACTCCACGACACTGGTATTAATGACAGGGCACGTGAACATGACTGGTCACTCCGGTCGACCACTAGGGGTCACTTGCCTCTGCATTGTGTTGCCTGTAAATGCCAGCCCCAATTCAACAACATCATCATCATCGGGAGGGCACAGATAAAATTACCAGAGAATTATTGGAAGCGTATGCAATAACATAAGAAGGGCAAGATGCATCTGTCAGCCAAACATCTGTTTTCTTCACAAAAAAGAAATTGCTTATCTTGATACGTGGTGAAGTGCGGTTTCTTCGTTTGTGTTTTTTTCAATGAATGTTTAGTTGTGAGTCCAGCACTTCTGTCGTTCCCATCTTCCCTTTGTCCTTGTCTATTTTAGCGCGCTGTTTATTTCCGTTTACCATGAACCAACTCGCCTACATCACGACACTAATGTTTTGCAATTGGCTAAATTGAACCCGATCAACCCAAGTATACTAGAGCTGGTATCTGAAATTACATTACTTGAGGCAGACCCATGGATGCGAGAAGTTCGGCCGGTCTTTGAAATCACACTCTAAAAAAAGTCTGTGCGTCTACTTTTACGCACAACACTCGGAGAACCAATCAGCGCAACTTACGGAGGCAGCTCCGTGAATGACGATGCCGAAACATCTGTTTAGACCAAAAAACGCAGACTGAGTTGTGACATTAAGCAGTGCAAGCGTGACGTTTTGCATTGCTTAATATCACAACTCAGACAAAGTTTTTGGTCTAAACATATGTTTCGGCATCGTCATTCGCTGAGCTGCCTCCAGAAGTTGCGCTCATTGGCTCTCCCAGTGTTGTGCGTGAAACTAGACGCACATACTTTTTTAGAGTGTACCACAACAGCTGGATTTGACGTTCGCTGTCGATTCATTCTCAGCGATCACTACGAGGGTTGAGGTATTCACAACGGCCCCGAAAGTATGCAAGGCGCAGAATTTACGTAGCTAGAAAATCACACTGCCTCTTGACTATAAAATGCGCATGGAAAACCTCGAGGAGCTAAAATCCGTTCACTTTGCACGCCAGCCTCCAAACATTTGTTGGCCAGTCGGCAGCAACCGTTGCTTTGAGCTGGTGGGGAGGTGGGAGGCCGGAAGTCTCATGATCGGAGGAACTAAAAGGAATACCTGTCGCGCATTGGCTGAGACGTATAGTTCGTATCGTTGACATACGTAAGAGTTGCCGACACCTTAACACTCTCACACTCGAACGTCGCGTCAGTTCTGTGCACTGCCATGTTTCTGCGCGTAGTCTGAACCAAACGCTTGTTACGCTTAAGTTGGAGTGTATTATAAAATATCGGCGCGTTGCGACTCTATTTCAAATATAGCTTAAAAAGACGGTCATTTATGCTCACCTTTCTTTGATGCTGGGGCAGCGCCGACAATTTCTGACATAATGATCAGCGACGTCCATACCAAGAAACACATGTTAGAATCACCATGTGGCATTTTGATTGTCCGCCACGGAGTTTCCTAAACCCGTCTGAAGAAACGAACGAATCACTCTCAGCAACGAACGGCTTGGCGGCGAACTTTGCACGCTTGAAATATCACGCACACAGTCTGACATTAGGCCGGAAACGAGAAAGCATTTTTCTTTTGCTTGCCTTCACTGTACCTTGTAATATGAACAAACAAGAAAGATGACGTCATGACGCGCATGACGAGATCTCAAAGGTTACTTGTAAGAAGCAGGTGGTCACTTGATCTTTGTTAGTTTGAGAAAGATATGTGCTTTCTATTACGCACAAAACGTGGCATGTAAAAATATTTTAACTGGTTTTTATAAAACGCTTTTTTTTGTTTACTTTCCAGACTCTTTTTAAACCGCTAAAACTGCACTAACGCGGTCTTTCGAGCTGAGTTATTCGGCCTGTGTGACAAAATACAAGTGCATAATCATTACGATATGTTGACTAATCAACAAAAATGTGTTCATTAACTTAAAAATTGGTGAAAATAAACATATCGTTACAATTTGACATTTCCTGTGCGCCACTCAAACCACTAAGTCAGTAAAGATCATGAATAGAATCCAGGTTGAATTAACCTGAGACTGGGGTAGAGAAGAAAAACCAAAACGTAGAAGGGACAGAAAATAGACAGGACGACGTCTCTTGAGGCGTCGTCCTGTCTATTTTCTGTCCCTTCTACGTTTTGATGTTTCTTCTCTACCCCACTCTCAGGTTAATTCAACCTGGTTAATATTCACCAGCTCGCCTGCACCCTCACGATTTTTTCTATGAATAGAATGCCTAAAGCGCGTAGGAAGCGTGTTAGTGAACTAAGGTCGCCGCAAAGACAACAGGCTCAAGGCTAGTAGTTCCAAAGCGCGGACACGCGTGTTTTCCGTTATTGTTGTTGTTGTTGTTGTTGTTGTTGTTTTATTTTCTTTTTTGCGTTTTTGCTTTGCAGCCTTGTGTCTGTTGCACGAGTGATCATTTTAGTGCACTACCACGCTTCCCGTCTTTTAAACGTACTTCTAATATTTGCTGATTTGGTGGTTACGACGTCGATCATTAAGTCTCTAACTAGAACCATGCTTACTTATACTAACTAAAAGTTACTTTACACATTCTACTTAATTATCCAACTTATCTTGACAAATCTTCGTTTATACTGTGTCCCACTAATTGTATAACCCACGGGCACAAAGCGAATTAGTTTAGCTTCCATTTCATTTTAAACAAACACATAAAGCTTGAAAAACCTGCATAGCTGCAGTGGCCAAATAATAAAAACCAAAGTAAAAAATGAAGGTTTCGATCCAATGAAAATAATGTTGTGCCGATGAGAATGCGGACTTTGCCACTGAATTATGAAGGGGCCTTGTTGATAGATCCGGTCTTCTCCGTAGGCTAAATTTTGCTACAGACACAATCGACTAAATAGACATTTAAGGTTCGATTATGAAAGCATCCACGATTTACCAGCTTCACTGAACGATCTTCATCAAATCGGGTCTAATAAAAATTAGGCCGGGCTTTTTACAGCGGCGTCTTTACTTCTCGAAAACAGAAATAATTCGATTATTCGAAAACGTTCCCCTTCCGCGGAATTTTTTTCAAGAAAATCATTCGCATTGGTTCATCGACTAATACAAAAAGCCCGCTGGATCAAATGTATTCTCTATACCACTCGCAGTACGACGCTTGGATGTGCGCGACATGAACACTTTAAGCAAACTGTGGTGAACATCAACGGAATACCTGAATTACTTACGCTTTCCCCAAAGGCTACCATAGTTCCTCGTTCAATGGACTTGTCTCCGGCAATGAGGCTACTGCCGATGTTTCGCCGTTGCAGCTGCAGACATCCACCCCAGGTCGATCATTGTGTTGAGCGGACAGTGTCGCTCCATCAAAGCGCGGAGGAAAAACGGCTGCGCTGCACGCTGGCTTTTTGGTGATAAGAATTTAGAACAATGGTTCTCAAACTGTGATCCCCGGACGTGATCCGCGGACATCCGCGGGACCGCGTCGACGTTGATGGGGTTCCGCACTGATTTGAAGATGGCTCTACCGGGGAGAGGTAAGACGATGAAGGTGATTTTAATCGTCTATAATAAAGTACCCTCGAGTCACAGTGAGATCGCTCTTGCTTGTTTCTACTTGTGAAAGTGTTTCAGTGCGACATTTCTTAATAAAATATCGCACATATACGTTGCAATTTTCAGATTCCACTACAAGACCTCTTCGTCTGGGCTCGTCCGCAGGAAGCCAAACACATTCAACGTAATTTATGTTCAACCAGCCCCGAGGAGTTCCTCAATCTCTGATTCACGGTGACGTCAGTTCCCCAATGTATTCGTTTCTGGTCTGCGAGTGACCCTAGACAGTTAGTAGGGTTCGGTTACAGCACAATATATGGGAAGAGGTGAATTCTCAAAGATGAGAAATAAAGATCTTTGCGTAGTTCACATTATACACCGAACAGCAGACTGCATTAGTCTTTTTACATCCTTAAAGATATAAAAAAAAAAAAAAAAATTTTCATTCGACAACTTATGCACATCCAAACCTCTCTAAGCCCTATTTTTGTAATGCAGCTTTCGATAAAGGGTGAAAAAATATTGCGAAAGACTGCGGCGCTACAGTCTGGGAAGCAAGAACTTACCGGCTCGAAACAGCTTTCATAGAGGCTCCTTTAACAAATGAGTCGAATTACTTCGTCTGTAGCAATACTTTTTACTAAAAAATGCTGTCAAGAAACCTTATTTTTCGAGCGAGCTATTGGAGTAAAAAGCATCATACTTACAACCTGAATTAATACTAAAGTGGTAACCTACGACTTGATTGCAGTTCAATTGTCCGCGGATTCATAACACAGAAATCCCACCAACTGGTGGTTGTTCCGCTTTCGTGCTATACTTCGTTTAAGCTTAAATCCAGACGCAGTCAGCGCTACGAGGTAATTGGATCAATCAGGGAGCATCAAAAGCGCAAGTCACGAGGCCTTTTTTTATTGTGATTGGTTTTAACGATGATAAACACGTACAAAAACACGATAAACACATTGGTGGTGTGCTTTTCACGCTGTTTGATAGATCCCTTTAGCTCGTAGCTTTGGCTGTGTCTGGACTTAAGGGGGAAAAAAACACACATGCCCCTCCCCCCCCCCCCCAAAAAAAAAAAAAAGATATATTGCCAGGAGATTTATTATCGTGTTAGAAGTCTGCCCAATCAATGTTTTCCAAACAGCACAACGTATATTTTTAATCAAGTAAAAAAAACGCAACTGCTCGAAACCGAAACTGAAACTGGACTGGGGAGAAAGAAGGAATATAAAAGAGAGAGTCACTGGAATTCACGTGGCTTTGCCATTTCTTGTTTCTTTCGAGCAAACGGATTTGCAGTATATTAAAAACCACAAAAAAATGGGTATCAAATATATATGGGTGGTTTCACCTCAAATCATGCAGGCAAAAAGGGTCGAATTTTTTTTATTTCGCTGAAGAAAATATATGTTATCGCGCCGTCTTTAAAAACGCAGTCGCCACAAACCGCAAGTTCGTCGGATTTTTCGTTCTCGACTTACGAATTTTACAAGAGGCCGTGGCGAAAAGCAGTGTTTTTCACATCCGTCGGGGGTCGGATGTTTCGCTCGATCTCCCGCCGTAGATTTTCAGTTCACAGGATAGCAACTTTTTTAAAGCACTCTGTAACTACAAGTAAAAGGCTCTGATGCCATGAAATAATTTAGGCGTTTTGCTTTTTTTCTGTAAAAATGTCAAAAAAGCCCCCTCGGTCAATTGTTGACAAATTTTGACAATTAAATACTGGCGATCTACTTGGGTTACATCATTATTTTTTATGTCTATGGAGAGCCCAAAACACGCTCTTTTATATATTATAAAATGGTTTATTTGTATTAAATATTCTTTACGGTACGTTTACGTTAATGTTATGCGAAAATCAAAAAGTACCTATTTTGAGATCGATTTTCTCAAAAAACCCATTTTTTATTGTTTTTATTTTTTTACAATGCAGATATGGTAGTTGTTTACTCGAAAATCAAGTCGAGAAAGTGTATATGTTGTTTGTATGTTCTATATTTAATTCTCAATATCGCAAAAAAACGTGTTTTTACGGCTCGAAACGGACTTGCGAATTGCGGGTCTTCACAAACTTGGAAATGTTTTTGCCTTCTTTCAAAGTTCCCACATAATAATGAAATACAGTAGTTCCACCCTGTTATATGTATTTTCTCATTTAAATTTTATTATAAGCGGCCAGCTACCTTGGAACAGTTCAAAAGAGAAAGCAATACTTTTTAAAAGACCAGCAGGCGTCGTAAATTTTTAATGGGTAGAAATCCGCAGACTTCGTATTGATTTGGAGCCCTGATTGGCCTATATGAACGTACCGCCCTTTCGGAACCAGCAGATGACCACGACCTTTTCCGCTCGTTGTGTTAGATAGGACGGCCCATGACAGTAAAGCGAGCAGCGAACCCTGTGTCACGAGGAGTGAAATGATACGAATGTGGCGTTGACGCGGCGACAGTGACGACCGCCCAGGAGGAGTCAATCAGTCAGAGCATTGCAGAAGGGAAAGCAAAGAAGTGTTGCCTGGGAGGTTGAGGACACCACGGTCTTACAATATCGGCGGTCAAAAACAGTTCTGCCTGCCAAAACAACGCCGCGTGCACGCTAAAACCGGCGGCGCGGGACAACAATCCCGCAGACGCACACACGAAGATAGGCCGGTTCCGATAGGGATGTGGGCAAGTCCCGAAACCAGCCATCCGCGCACGCGTGAAACGATACCGCGCATTTGCCCAAGCTTCGAGAGCCATAAATCCTTGAAAGGGCCGTGCTCTATATCTCTCCGCGGGTATTCCATAGCACCAAAGGGTTATCTCTTTTGGAAACAGCAAAGCCCGGAGATTAGTTGCGTCGAAGTCAGCCTCCTTGTTAACGATAACCGTTTGTGAAGAGTGCTTTTCTC